ATTCATAAAAGTCAAACTTGATTAACTCTTCCAATTTAACGCTTCAACGATGAAATTTATTCTTCCAAATCAAACTCCGGATCACCTGAAAACCAAAACCGATGATACACACCAGTCATAATACATTATACGGAGCTACGCATGCCCCCAAACTACCGAGCAAAGTGCAAATGCTTGAAATGACCGGTAGAGTCATTACACAAATAAACAATTGCAAATAGATGCTGAAAAATAAAAGACGTACTGTTGCCGAAGGGAAAATTCTATATATATTCAAAATGTATTTACAAAGGCATGGAAAAACAGCCTCAAAATAAACAAAAAGAGACATACAATAGGAAAAAAAGAAGAAAAGCTAAGGCATCTTCGCCTAATCTTCACCAGAGCTCGACTCAGCACCGGAACCTTCAGGACCTTTGGGCTCATATAGCTCTTTTGGCTCGTCCTCGAGCCTCTTGGCCTTTTCAATCTCGGCCAACAGATCAAATCCCCGGGCATGAATCTCCTGGAGGGTCTCCCTCCGAGACAACCACTTTACATACTCGACCTTTATTATTAAGCGGGCCTTGGCTATTTCCACATCGGTCTTGTATTGGGCCAGCATTTCCTCGACCTCGGAGGAATCAATTGGGGCTGCCTCTAACTTGGACTTCTGTGCAATATATTCCAGTCTGAAGTCGTCCCGTTCCGTGATGGTTGAATCTAGTTGTGTCTGAAGCTCAGTGTTTAGCCGAGACCACTTGTCGGCTTATCCTTCGCCACCCGGAGCTACTCTTTGACTGACGCCAACCCCTCTTTTGTAGACTCCTTTTTCCGATGCTAGAAGGTCCATCATGCTCCTCAGCGTCTCGGCCGAAGCTTTGAGCTCGTTCATCTTGGCCTGTAGCTGGTCAATTAGGTCTATCTTCTATTGGACCTACGACGTTGCCTCATTAGTCATTAAGCGTAACCTCTCATTTTTAATCTAAAAAATCCTTATCTTCTCGACTAGTTCTGCATGCTCCCGTTTCACGGAAAAAGCCTCCCTTTGAGCTTTTTCCAACTCAGCTTGAAGAACAGTGAGATCCTTGAGGGCCTCGTCTTTTTGCTCACTGAGAACCCTATACATGTCCTTCTTTGGGACTTTCTCTTTGAACTTGAGCTCGAGCTGCCCGACTTCCATTCGAGACCGATGGAAGCTTTCATGGTGGAGCACTGAAACCAGAAAAATAAATCAATAAGATCATGAGAATACGTTGAAGTTCAATAAGATGCACGAAGGGTAAAATGAAAGGGAAACTTACCTGATTCAATACCTGTTGTGCCTCATTGAAGAGGCTCGATGTGCCCATTTTGTTCATCTTTGCCTATTCCTCTTCGGTCACCAGGCATCGAAGATAGTTGGCCACACCCACCAGAGCATACAGCATATGGGTATCAGCCGGGATAGTAAACACGGCCATTCTTTTACGGTCGGGATCCACGCTCGGAAGAGGGAACTGCCTTACTAGCTTCGGGCTCGAGCTCGGATCGCCTGCTCCTGATGAAACATCCTTTTTCGAGATCTCCAGGTGACCAAATCCGGAATAATCCTTCAATGCGCCTATGTCAACTATGTCAAAGAACATGTTGAGGGTCGCCTGCGGACCGTGCCGTATCATTTGGCTTCTCCTTGACGTCCTGAGCCTCGTCAAATAAGGACTCTACATGGGATGGCGATTCCGCGATGTCATTGACACCGGCAACCTCCCTCGGATCAGGGATAGTTTCTTGGGAGACCATAGCCTCGGATTTTCAATCTGGCTCCCAGGCTAAAGAGGGATTGGCCTCTCAGACACTTTCTCCGGTTGCCGCCCGTTTTTCTTCATCAATGGTCGGCCTATGGGCGACGAACTCTAGATCATCATCTTCAGGGTAATCTCTGAGTCGGAATAGGGAGTCAAAGTCTGGTACCCTGGCCCGGGTACTCTTCTTGTTGCTTTTTCGGACCCGGACTGTTACCCTTTTTTTCTTGGCTTCGGCGTCCGGGGAACACGAAGATTTCCTCTTTTTTCTCTTTTTCTCCTCCTGTGTAGCAGCTCCAGACTGTCCCGAAGCGTGGTTTATCGAGTGAGGGTGGAGCCTCATCCTCATCCAATGCCCAAAGTTCAGTGGTGTTGGGCAAACTTACGAAAGAAAGAGAACTTAGTGGAAATGAAGGTTGAGTATGAGAATAGACTTGGTCGGGAGGAGCACTTACCATGGGAACGGGCCTCCCACTTGCCCTTTGAAAGTTTGTGCCATTCGCGCTCAAAGTATGACAGTTGTTTGAAGATCCCCTCGACCCACTCTTTAAAGCGAGGAACTACGTTGGGAACTCGGGCAACCGCTGCGCGATGGTAGAAGCAGGCAACAAGAAAAAGGAACAAAAGAAATTCCAAGTACTCACAAGGGAAAGGAACTTATGGGCTAAGTTCCACTTTTCAGGGAACGGCAAGAATCCGAAGGGAATAAGATCTTCGATTCTTACCAGAACATATCTCCCCTGCCAGCCTCGATACCGATCTTAATCGATGCTCGAAAATGGAGCTTTACTTGCCCGAAGATCGAGCTTGATTAGCCCCCTTGAAAAACTCGGGGACTGTAGAGACGAAGTAGGTGGTCGATGGTGAATCGAGGTGCTTCGGTGTTGTTGACAAAATAGTGGGGGAGGATTACGATCCTCCAAAAGGACAAGTGAATCTACCCAAGGCAGACATGAGGTCACTTTTGTAAAAGCTAAGGATTTTAGGATCCACCGGGGTAAGTGTAAATACTTAGATACCCCTCCACATGAGTGGTAATGTCCTTGTCGGGACCAGGGACGACCACTTCTTTGCCTTCCTAATTGCATTCATCTCGAACTATAGGGAATGTATCCTCGGTAACGGAGCATATGTACTTCCATACCCCCTCGCCTCGGTCCTGTTGACTGGAGGCTTTTTCAACCTTGAAGTCATTCTCAATGGAACAACCTCCAGGGATGAAGCTCTTCAGGGGAGGTTCCGGGGCCACACCAGGCACGACCACATCAGCATCCGTGGTCAGGTTAGAAGTTGAAGGGATGGTCTGTTGAGGCATAGATTTCGAATTCTTCGCCATCAAACTCTAGGAAATATGAAGATTTGAAGGTGATGATGAAAATTTGAAGATAAGGATGAAGGTATGAAGGTTAGGTTTGAAGACTTAAAGATAGAGTATGAAGATTTGAAGATGGGAAGATGAAAATATGAAGATCTAGGAAATAATGTATGAAGATTTGAGGGGTTAAGAATAAGTGAAAAGTTCGAGGGTACATTAAGGAGCTCTGGAATCGGTAAAAAGTGAGAAAGGGACCGAAGCTTTTATAGAGAAGGGGTAATCAATGCGTGACGTTTCGCATTCGGGGACGGTCAACCGGTGGTTGACACGTGTCCGAAGTCATAACGACGCAACTGATAGGATATTTCATTGACCCATCAACTCGGTTGTAGCGTATGGAAGAAGGAACCGGGGTTAATTCATCGCTTCCCATCGCTTTGATAAATCTGCTCTCCGAAAAGCGAGGGGACTATATGTGTACGGGTAAAATCGGGGACAAAATTTTTCCCGGTTCTCCAATAAGGAAACAAGAGGGAAGCACGGTTCGACGCAAATATAGGCAACGCCGACGGACCCCTCGTATCGGAACCCGAGAGGAGTGAACGATGTACCTGGGATTGGCCACGGTAGCATAACGAACCCAGACCAAGTAAAGTTTCTAGTCCACGGGAAATGCGGGGAGCGGTTATGCATGACAAGCAGGGAGCCGCAATACTCGCCCTCAACCGGATATTACGGCGCGAATCCCGTCCGATATCAACTTCGGATTGACATTTACCGGAAAAAGAAGATTTTTACCTTATTTAGACTTGTACTAGTACTGAAATTTCCCTACTATATAAAGGGGAAAGTTTCTTTTATTTTGACGAATGGTTAACACACAAATCAAATCACTAAAAGTTCATTTTTGTCTTCTAGGTATTATTCAAAGTGTTTTTCAGTTACTCTTTTCTTTACGCGCAACTGAACTTATATCGAGGGTCTGATCAAGGACCAGACTTGATCATCACAGTACAATTGATTTGATCTTCCATTTTATCTTTAATTTAATTATTTGTTGTTCTTAGATCATTCGTATTGAATTAAATCACAAATCATTTGAATCGCGTACAAATTTAATTATTACTCATTTTTTAAGGTAAACGGTTTGGCTCTTTCACACTAACATTTAGAAATTCCAAAGCTAAATAAAAAAATAATTAAAAGACAGTACAGTGTGGGTACGTGGTAGGCGCACCTCACGAATTTAAGTACTTTGTTGTGATTACAGTCTATTTAAACGCAGAAGAAATCCTAGTAAAAAACTACTGTGAATCTTCCTTGCCCCAAGCATTTTTACGGGATACCGCTCCAGTCAATTTTTTTATTAGATATGTATATATAGATAAATAAAAATATTGGATATGAATAAAAAATATTAATACCGTTTATCAATAACAACATACCCAGTGTATTCTCACAGTGTGAGGTCTAGAAAGAATAGTGTCTAGTCATACTTTATCTGTACTTAATAGAGATATTATATATTATTTCTGATCGATTCTCGACTCAAGAAAAATATTTTTCAGCAGGTTTGAAAAGAAAAAATAATTGTGAAAAAAACATGTTGAGACTAAAAGACAAATACCGCTTACCATTATAATGTGTTATTCATTTAAATATTTTTGAACAACTTACGAATAATTCTACTTACGCCAGTGTGAGAGATTTTACTGTCCAAATAAACGAACCCAACAACCCCTGTAGTAGTAGGCTAGCTCTTTATTACCTACTATTCAACAGTCAGCGCACTCCACCTCCTGAATATCTGTGCTGTTTTACTAACTTAAGCTTGAGTAGTAGTACTATTTTAAGTCATCCAACAAAAGCGGATGCTGTACAGATAGGAATAAGATAAATAAGTTTTAAAAAGAAGACTGAAGCCTGTCATTATTTAAAGTTGATCTAACGTGTAATATAGTACTCTCATTCTCTACTTAATATGGCAGATTCAGAACAACTTTCTTCCTCTGATTATACTCCTCCTGATTCTCAAGGTATCCACTCACCTCTAATTGATCATGTTTTTCAATGTTTATTCTTTTCTAACTTCGTATCAAGCAAGTTAGGAAAAAAGATCGCGGTTATATGGATTTTCACTGTTCATATCGTTGGATATTTGTTTCAGGAAAGATATCGAAAGAAGCTGAAACTGAATTTTCTCAAGATGAAGAAGAATTGATAATCAGGATGTACAATTTGCTCGGCGAGAGGTTTCTTCAACTTTTCTAACTGCTTAAGTTTCAAATTACTTTCTTTATTCNATATATATATATATTTAAGAACACAAGTTTTAGGGTACTTTAGGAATAGGGTAACTCTGTGCACGAAGTATCCCGTGTTCGCGCGGGGTTCAAGGGCTGCACCCCAAGGGGTGTAACATAAGCAGCTTATTCTAATGCGAGTATCAGCGGATGATTTTGTGGCTCGAACCCGTGACATATAAATCACACAAAGATAACTTTACCGTTGTTTAAGGTTGTGATTGACCGGGTACTTTTGGAATGTACAAAAAATATCCTTTTCCTTTTAAAGTCTATGTAAAGTCAAACATTGTCATTGGGAAAAGTAGTTGCTTTGTTGTGATTGATGGTTGTTTTTTTAAAAATTATCAGGTGGTCTCTTATAGCTGGAAGAATACCCGGACGAACTGCAGAGGAGATTGAGAAGTATTGGAATACTCGATCTTCAACCAGTCAATAAACATTGCCAATAACATTTTATGCCTCCATAGCAAAGAGCATGATATATTAATTTCTTAGTTCTTTGGACTTAAAAAAGCCTTTCAGGCTCAACCTGCAGAGAGCTAGTATAAACATAGGAATATTGTTCCTTTGTCTTTCTTCTATGAGTCATTGGCCAATTTAAATAAACTTCAGTTTTCTTAATTTGCTATTTATCTACAGTTGCAAATAATTTTTAACTATAGTAGAGCTTACTCAGAAGTCACAACTTTCCAGAGTAAAGTAACCACAGGACTAACACTACACTCCAGCTTTTGAGGAAACATATTCACAACAGTTCTTGTAAGAATTTATATGGACTTATATATGTACGTATGTATGTATGTATTAGTAATAGTAATTGTATGTATGTATGTATTAGTAATAGTAATTGTATGTATGTATGTATTAGTAATAGTAATTGTATGTATGTATGTTACGTGTTTGCTAATGACGGGTTTCATCTTAAAGTTATGAGTAACAGTTCTACGGTCTTCCTCACCTCTATTCACTTGACTAACATGGATTTATGTTTACCCGAAAAATTGGATAGAGTTAAATTTGTGTATGGTTCTAAGGATATGTGATATAATTTGATACAAATCGTATAGAGGAATAGAAATACGTGTATTCTTGACTATGAGAGTGAGAATAGTGAGAAGAAGAACGAATAAGATAAAGGGAAATAAACACAAGGGGATATCTTTCAATATAAGAAGAAATCTTTTGTTCCATTCTCCCCTTGCTTACAATCCATCCCTCTCCTTTATAGTAGAGGGATCCTACTTTATATACAATAATAAAAAATACGTAGTGGAGTGCCCATGATGTATTGTCTTTTCCCTACTTCCCGCCAGGATTCCCTCCCTTAGTGCGGCTGTAACGGCCTTGTCTATGAGCTTCGATACTGATTCGAACTCGATATCGGGTCGATCCATTGGCCTTGACTCGAGCTCGATCCTGACTCGGAGTCTTGATATTCGGGGTGGGTGTTGGTCAGTCTGTGCATCTCCGACAACCTTTTGCCTCGTGGTTTGATTTGGTCATGGGCCCGATAATGATACCGAACTAATCCTTGATCGGACTTGGAGCTCGAATCCTGAAGCCCCTTTCTTCGGACCTCGACCTGATCTTATGTAGATACCTTTCGATCGAAGTATTGCCGTCTCGATCAGTCCATACGACTGACTCAATCGGTTCTGACCGTACACAGATAGTCCCCTCGTTTCTCGAAGAAGGATGTAGCGAGAAACGATATGATTTCCCAACAGCTCGATCAGATATATACTGACGTTTACATCGATCTCGACCATGACGTATGTGATAGTTGTCCCATCAGTTCGGTTTTACCAAGGCGTTTAATGTATCAGACGGTGATCGGCCACTTCTGATATTGAACCGTCATTGCTTCAATCTATAAATAGCCTTTTCTTCCATCATTCATACTTTACATCTTCAATCTTCCAATTTTTCTAAGTTCCTTTTCGTCTCTTCTGAGTTTTCTGCCTGTAAATCTGTGAGTTTTACTGCAAACTCTTTCTTAAAATACCAAATACTTCCGTTTTTTGTTCACGAAATTTTAAATGGTAAAAACATCTAAAATTGTTCCGCAAAAAGAGACCACTTCTTCATCTCGACCTGCTGGTGGCGAGGATGTGGAAGAGCCCCGCCCTGAGGAATTCTTTCTGGTAGGGTGTTCGACTGTAGGCGATTTTAAAATTGAAAAACCTTCTCCGATACCGGGTCAGTGTGAGCCGATGTCAAGGTATTCAATTACCGAAAAAGTTCTCGATAAAGTCATACAAGAATGCAACTGGGATAATAAACTCGTAGTAATCCCATCGCCTGATGAATCAATTACTACCCACGTCAAAGGGTTCTTAAGTGTTTACACTTATCTTTTCACGTTGGGACTTTTAGACCCTCTCATCGTTGCCTTTTGTAATAGGTACGATGTGACCCTCGGCCAAATTCACCCTTCTTTTCGGAGGATAGTGATTCTTCTTCGATTTTTCTTGAGCAAGATCGAGGGGTGTATCTTCACCCTCGATCATCTTATGCGCCTTTACAGTCCCTGACTTTATCGAGGAGGGTTGATCAAGTTTGCTCGCCGAGCAACCAAAGCGCCATTCTCGAGTATAGACAAAACCCGGGATCGGGGTTGGATGGGTCATTTTGTTCGAATCAAAACCTCGGACCTGATCCCTGCCGATGACTTGCCATTTCTCGAGAAATAGAATATGAGCCGTGAGTGAACGTTTCTCTTTGCACATTTTGATTTTGTGATTGCCTTTTATTTTGTTGATCCATTTTTCTTTCCTTATCACAGCCGTAGCTCGAATGCCGGAACTGATCCTAGATCTTAGACAATGGGTCGAAAGTCTGGTGTTGCAGAGACCGTACTCCGAGCATGCTTGGGTCGAATTATCAAAGGGTCGATGGGAGGCCCGCAGTTATGGTAAATCTTTTTGTTGATTTGTCTCTTCATCTTATATGATAAATCTCCCTCTTCCCTTTTGTAGGACTAGGGACAGATATAGTCATGAGGCCCCCATCTGGTGGCAAAGAAGTTCCTGTCCTAAAGCAGGTAAAAGAAAGGAAGAAAAAAGACGTATCGGGCTCCCCGAGCTCGGAGAAGAAGAAACCGGCTAATAGATCTCGAAAGTCGAAGGGGGGCTGTGGTGTTATGTCTTCGGAAGTGGCCCGCCATTTAAGGGATGAGCCCGAAGAAGGAGAGGAGAATTTAGCCTTCGTACGGGCTAATGTTGTGACTCAACAGTATTCCAATTTGGTGGAAGCAAAACAGGGAACCTTGGCCATAATCCCAGAACAAGAAGGAGCCGAGATTATCCTTTCGCGAACTTAGATGATTGAAAGGGACACCGAGGGTGGATCTTCTCGGGCAGTAGAAGATATTTCAAGGGATGAGTTTAGGATAGTTGACATTGGCAGATCCCCTCAGATTTTGGATGCCATGATTCGAGAGGCCGGGGATCGGTCCTATGATGGTATTCAGGAGTCGGCCGATATCCATGGTTTTCTGGAGGGGCTCGAGTCAGGTGCCTTAGAGGAGGTTACCGGTTTTGGTGGAATGCTGGTACCCAAAAAAGCATCGTGGTCGGGTTCTACTGAACCTTCATCGATTCATAAACTGGTGGACCGATTTCCGGCCCCGAACATCGATCCCGACCGAAGGCGAAAGATAGTGCTCTCTGTACCTGCGGATACCCGAATTATTTCTTCCCCTGTGGGGATCGCCAGCTACCTACGGTCCTTGGTGACCAAAGAAGATCAATCAGTAATGAATGCAGTGGGGCCCGCCTGTCTCTTCAATGAGGCCCAGCATGCTTTGAATCGGGTAACTCTGATGGCATTTTTGTTGATTCTTTTACACATAGAATTGTAGGTAATTCTAATGTTTCTTCGTTTGTTTGCGGGCTTCGGTGTTGCATCACGAGGCCTTTCTTCGAATCCGGGAGGAGCATGATGCCGAGGTTCAGAGCCTCACTAAGAAGAGTGACTCGTACAAGCTCCTTAGTGAAAAACTTCGAGCAGATTTGACAGCGGCTCGGGAAGAGCATGAGGAGATGGCTGAGCAGGTATTTCGAATGTTCCGTGATAGTGAAGATGAAAAAGAGATAACCACTAATGATCCGATTCTGCAGGTTCGGCAGAGGATCGAGCAAATTGGATGACTTAACTCACAGGTAGATGCGCTATTTGCCGAGACAGAAGAATTTAAAAAGTGTATGGATATCCTTGCCTCGAAAAAGGAAGTCGTCGAAGCACAGTTGGAGCTGTCTGATGCCCAACTTCGATCTGTGAAAGAAAATGCTTTGGGGCTGATCAAAAATATGAAAAAACTTCAGCATCGGTTCGATTTGGTGACTTCAGATAAAGCAGATTTGGCCAAAGAACTTGAAGTGGCCAGATCTGAGGTAATTGAGGCCATTAAAAGAGCTGATGCCAAAGTGGCTCAGTTCAGGATCGATGTCGAGGTTAACCAAGCCAAAGCTGAGAGCATGGTCAAACATGCAAAATGGCAAGCTCGGAGAGAGGCTTTCGAGGAGGTCAGAGCTCAGGGCTTCGATATTGGGGCCGAGATTGAAGTCGCGAGGGCGGAGGAGAACAAATCTCGGAGGTTGGCCTTTCCTGAGGAGGACTCCGATGACTCGGGGGAGTCTGAAGATGAGGACGATGCCGAGAATACGGCCTCCGATGAAGATTGAGTCATTTAGGGCCTCAGGTCGTTTGCTGCGTTCCTTTGATACCGCTTTCGATTTTTGTATAAAGAACTTCCTTTTGGCAGAGTAGCCGCCTCTGTACAAAAAATTTGTAAATATAAGTCTTTCTTTCTTTTGAAGTAAAATAGCCTTTCAAACTAAATAGATAGTTTGAATTTTGATCTCTGTTGCCTTCGGGCCTTGTGGGTAGTCCCCTTTGCTTTATCGGGCTCGAACATCCTTCAGCTTAAATAGTCAAGTGTTCATTTGAATTGGAAGAAATGAGTAGTTTTGCTCGAAATAATGTAGCCCGTAAGCATAATGGTCTAGTGAGTGCTTGCTCGAACTCGAAATAAAAGTAGCCCGTAGGCATAGTAGTCGAGTGAATGATTCGAACTCGAAATAAAAGTAGCCCGTAGGCATAGTAGTCGAGTGAATGATTCGAACTCGAAATAATGTAGCTCATAGGCATAATGGTCGAGTGAGTGCTTGCTTGAACTCGAAATAAAAGTAGCCCGTAGGCTTAGTAGTCGAGTGAATGATTCGAACTCGATGTAATGTAGCCCGTAGGCGTAATGGTCGATTGAGTGCTTGCTCGAACTCGAAATGAAAGTATCCTGTAGGCTTAGTAGTCGAGTGAATGATTCGAACTCGAAGTAATGTAGCCCGTAGGCGTGACGGTCGAGTGAGTGCTTGCTCGAACTCGAAATAAAAGTAGCTCGTAGGCTTAGTAGTCGAGTGAATGATTCGAACTCGAAATAATGTAGCCCGTAGGCGTAATGGTCAAAGTAGCCCGTAGGCTTAATGGTCGAGTGAGTGCTTGCTCGAACTCGAAATAAAAGTAGCCTATAGGCTTAGCAGTCGAGTGAATTATTGGAACTCAATGCAGCCTATAGGCTTAGAAGTCGAGTAAATGATTTGAACTCGATGCAATGTAGCCCGTAGGCGTAATAGTCGAGTGAGTGCTTGCTCGAACTCGAAATAAAAGTAGCATGTAGGCTTAGTAGTCGAGTGAATGATTCGAACTCGAAATAATGTAGCCCGTAGGCATAATGGTCGAGTGAG